TAACATTTGTGATGTGCTCGAAAAAGCGAGAGAGGGAGGGAATTGGGAGAGAGAGGAGAGAGAGAGGAGAGAGAGAGAGAGAGAGAGAGGAGAGAGAGAGAGAGAGGAGAAGAGAGAGAGAGAGAGAGGAGAGAGAGAGAGAGAGAGAGAGAGAGAGAGAGGAGAGAGAGAGAGAGAGAGAGAGAGAGAGTAGAATACATAATGATTTTGCATTGTCGTCTTCGTGGAAACAAAACAAAGTTTCTTCCAAAAATTGGGTACCTCACTGCTCTGAAATGATCCAATACCTCTGTTAAATGCATGCACGTAAAGAGCGTGAATACACAATACGTCCATAATTCCATGCTATGATTTAGAAAACGGCTCGCACTGAAAAACACGAAAGGATGTGGCATGAAATCCCGGCCAACAGCTCTCAAAAGTTTATTGCTGCTGCATCCCGATGTAAACAAACACGTCATTAGAAAGGCGCCGCGTTGCCGATGACAAAATACTGGATTGTTGTGCACTGTTGGTGAGAAAATCTCAACTCCTCATGCTGTGGCGAGCAGCTCCAAAGCTGACAAAATGCTGGCCGAAGAAATGTCACTCCAAGTTTTAAAGGTAATCCTTCGTTTCATCCACATCACGCCATTGCTAAAAGACATGACCAAGCCCTCGGGGCTTATATTGTGTGTGTGTGTGTGTGTGTGTGTGTGTGTGTGTGTGTGTGTGTGTGTGTGTGTGTGTGTGTGTGTGTGTGTGTGTGTGTGTGTGTGTGGTGTGTGTGTGTGTGTGTGTGTGTGTGTGTGTGTGTGTGTGTGTGTGTGTGTGTGTGTGTGTGTGTGTGTGTGTGTGTGTGTGTGTGTGTGTGTGTGTGTGTGTGTGTGTGTGCGTGCGTGTATGTATACCAATGGCACGGACGAACAACACCCGAAACACGGCTCGAAACGAAACATTGTATTTGATATCAACAATCGACAACGTCCCATTAAGTTATGCATTCACAAACAAAGAATACAGTTTCTTCCAACTAGGAGCGCAGGAATATGCCCGATATCATGATTGATAAAATACAGGTACTATATAAATTTACATCAGATGCATTTGGCTGGGGAAGGGGTGAACAAATGCAGATTATACAACTGGGGCATCATTTTTCTAATTAAAACGTGTTTGATAACTTATTGCGTCGAAAAACTGTTAGACTGACTGGGTCTTAGACTGAGTCCATTAACACGTCTGTTTATGGACTGCCCTGGACTGTTCAAGCAAGGATAGGTAAGGCATGTAGAATACATGGGTGTGGCTGCATGGAACTTTTAATGGGAGCCAAAAGCAGTAAGTGCCGAAAATGAAGGTGCGCTAAAGATGCCCAAACACGAGCGCATGAGTAGGCGTCGATCATGTTTAGGACATTTAGTTTTTACATCTGACGCATTTTTTTATAGAGGTTTGCCACATTCTGCTGAAAGTATTGCCCTGCTTGCCTCATGTTGGCAGCAAGTTTCATGTCATCAAGCCCATTCAACTTCCAATCACATTTTCAGTTCCCACCATGGCTGTATCGAAGCATAACAGCCCTAGGCGATTGCTGTGATAAACACATGAGTTCTTGCGCAAATGCCAATAAGGAAACAGGGAAGCCACGTAATTAAGATTTAAATATTTGAAATGTGTCAAATCATTGCAAATTGGAAGTCAAATCTACGTTTAAACGGAGCGATTCCTTGAAAACCATACAAACTTAAAAGCCGCACGGCGCACATGCGTTTTGCTATAGAATATCAGTGCCAGTAAGGCATAACAACATACAACAGGGGTGCAGCAATGAGGCAGAGAGTCTCTCTATTGCATTAATACAACCCAGTATAAGATAAATGGCTCTTGAGTACCTACAATTCGCAATACCAGTTTTAGTTAGCAATTCTAACATTTTGAAATGCTTCGTATTTAAGTCGTATCCCTACGTTTTTTAAAGCTGTCACGACTTTTGTGGGTTACTATCTACGTTATCTTTAAAAACCCAGAGTTCGCTGCCCTATTGCATGAAGAGGCCCCCGATACTAAGAATCGTGAACAAGCTCAGAAAACCAGGACTCGTTGCTTTCCTGAATGGTGCTTTATCTGGCCAAGTGCGGCATATGCCATTATAGACGACGAGGCTGGATCTACATGAATTGTATAAGTGGTACTGGTTTGTTCAAGCATTCCATTATTGCATATTTACTATAGGTATTCGATAAACCCTTTCATCCAATACCTTCCGACTACCAGCCCGTATCGCGTCTCGAGGGTCTCGGCGATGGTTGGTGGAGAGTTGGTTCTCAAACGTGTTTGCAATGTTACAAAAGGAAAACAGAAAGCTAAAAAGCATGTTTGCAAACAAGAAATGCTCGAAAAAGAAACGACTGTTTTTCACTTCCATCCGTCCATGACCACTAAAAGCCATGCTCGAATCAATAAAGGGCAGGACAAGCGTTTCAGTCTGTCGCCCGCTGCAGTCCACATGAGAGACTGCGACTTTAAAATCCATACCTGCTGCTTGCGTTTTAGGAATAATCCAGAATTATTGCTATTGTTTAATCGTTAACTAGTCACTAAACATTTTGAACATGCATGTCAAACTTTCTGAGGTTGCCTCATAAGGTAAAGTGCTGCAGGTTGGCACGGGTGCTGTGCTCACGTTCCAATGATGGCCCTATGCGCTTTTTCGGATCAGACTATGGATGCTGCCTTGTTTTGGTCAAATAAAGAACAGCATTCGTCCCTGTGGCACTGGTGCGTTTTCGATGTCGTACCGAAGCTGAGACGAATGGTTTACCTTGCAGACGATTAGGCCTCCGTTTTCTAAAGTGGCCGGCTCCAGCTGGTGGCCTCCCGGCGCCGAACTCCGTCGAGAGAACCTTCCAGAAACCATCGGCCGAAGGGTAACGGTAGGTTTGCGGAAGCGCGTGGGTGTGCTGGGAGCCATAGACGGGCTGTCCCTATCTCCCGGAGGAGTGCGCCAGGGTAGCGTGTACGCGGTGCAAGATGAGAGTCGGTTTCACAGGATGTAACTGATTGGTGTTCATAGCCTTGGATTCTGCTACCGCGTTGATCAGCATTCTCTTCTATTGCGTTGTAATATGCCAGCAATTCCTAAAATATCAAAAATGAAGCGCTCATGCTGGGAACTTGTTTTGAAACTTTCGGTCACCATCCACACATGTTTGCTGTGCTTTGCCACCCTCCTATTTTGATGTGACGCTGTGCATGCTTTCTTCGAACATGCATTTGTTGTTGCAACTGATAAGCACATTCAACCCAACCAGTTTTGCTTTTATCTTCGGAATTTGACGCGGAGCGAACTGAATTCACCGAAAATCAGTTAAGGGCTTTAAACGTAAATTTTAATCCAAAATCAATCGATTGCATGCTAAATTTGCTCCACCCTGGTGTCATCCAATGGTTTAAGTCATGTTCATGCTGGATATCCTTTGATAAAGGGTATGGAGAGCAGCATTATCCGACACTTCACAGCACGTGCTCATGACGTCAAGGGTAACTGAGTTTCGACTTCTTCATCGCTGACATTCTTGCATCAGCGTAAGGCGAATTTGTCAGAAGTGTCGTCGAGGAAATCCCGTACTTCACCTGAGAGTTTTGCAAACATTTCAGTGAAGTTCATTCTTGATGACATGTAAACGTGACGCCCTAGTCCTTTCAGCTGAGTTTACTTTAACTCTTCTGCTTATAAAAGACTAAAGTGTGCTTAAAATTTTGAAAGCATGCGTTGATCCCCAGGAATAATTTACATTCATTGAGAATTTCTTCTTTCAACACACAACTAAAAACGTGATGTCTTGAATGTCGTCCTTACTCACTGCTTGGATGCATATTATTTTTTCTTAGACCAAGACTTGGAATCGCAGTGCAAAATTGTAGGTAAGGCTCCGCACATGGGGAATGCAAAAACTGCTCTGGTAGCAATCATGCTATTTTTAGCTGATTGTAGATTAATTGCGCAATTATATTTTGTGCTTTATTAACATAAAGCGGTTGCGATCTTCAGGCCAGCATAAATTTAGAGGCTTGCTTATCGCCGTGCATAAGGGTCAGACGCTAAGTTGTGCTGAGAAGGTGAGACGATAAAAGTAATTGTCATCGTGATTGGATTGGTACTGCAATTTCTGAACTTTGTTTTATGGAGCTGCTCTTTATCATTAACAATGTTCGAAAATATATTGTTTGTAAGATGGCGCCAGCCCAGGCCAATCCGTCCCAGCAATGTTAAGAAAAACAAGCCGAGTTACCCTAGAGTGTCGACCTGGCCGGTCGGCTGCCTCCCCTCCCCACCCCTGTGGTTGGGTGTTGTCTGTGGGAGGAGGGGATGCTTAGCCCCGAAAACGACTGACCTCACGCTGTGGAACAGCTTTCCGGGACAGAGGGTCGTGGCAGGATGTTTGCACCTTGTCAGACAGAGAGTAGTTTTAGCGTGGTGTTACCGCTGTCGGTGGAATCACCGAGCGCTGTCAGGATGACGTTTGGAGCGTTCTCAATTGCATTCTGAACCTAAGGTTTTCAAAATTGTTTACTGAACACTTGAACAATTTAAAAGTATTACACAATGCTCATTCCAACATAGAAGTGAAATTAAGAGGCGCAGCCCCCGATGCATAAAAGGTGATGCCACCAGTGGCGTAAAATACCTTTTCGTTTGGAAATTTTCCGTCTCCCCGAGGCACGGCTCTCGCCCGCCGGGAAGCCTGGTGGCTTTATAATTGTTCTTTAGTGTCCGGCAGGCAGGCATGGGGGCACAGAAAGACTGGGACCGACGACACCTGAAAACGGGTCTGTCTAGAGAGTTAGTAGCTATTTTCGAAAATACAAGAAGACTACCATTAAATTGGAGATTTAATTGCCTATATATATACATATACATATATATACAAATATATATATGTATATATATATATATATATATATATATATATATATATATATATCTCTCTCTCTCTCTCTCTCTCTCTCTCTCTCTCTCTCTCTCTCTCTCTCTCTCTCTCTCTCTCTCTCTCTCTCTCTCTCTCTCTCTCTCTCTTAAGTTTTCCGTTCCCACCTTGTTATCATCATTGTTCAAATAACTTCCAACGATCTCTGTGTTCTAAGGAATTGTTCTGCTGAACACGTCAATGCTCGCGGAAATACTAAGATGAAAACTACGAAAGCCATGTACTGACAAGTCAGTAATTCATTTTCTAGGAAAATACTGCAATTTGGAAAAAATCTACGTATATTCTACGCATACTCCTGATTTATTCCTTGAGATCGGGCACGAACTTACAGGCCGCACACACTAGCTTCACTGTACGAGGCAACATTTATTGAACATTAAGACGCAAATCATGAAGCATGTGTGCAGCAGTGAATCATAGAGTCCCACACATGGTTCTGGAACACCTGACACTTAACACTAATTGACATATGTTAAGATAGGAATGCTCAAATGTGGAAATAATGCCCATTTAATTTCTATCCTCGAAATACTTCAAGCCATTCTGCTTTTTGCGAAGCTATCATTTGCACCATTAATACCATGAAAACACCCATGATAGCTCTCTATAACACCGGACGACGCTTGGGGAGTTGAATGGGCGGAACTTTGTGTGGGTGCTAACACACCAGACGAGGACCATATTCTGAACGATTATGCCATGCGTGATAAAAAGTACACGTAATTTTACACTGTAATAAATGACTAAGAATAATCACACGTTCTTGTACACTGCAAGAAATGACCACACCACATGGTCCATAGTAACGCACTGGTGCAAGCTTCAGCCAATGCACTTCTCGGTAACAGGCCCTTGCGTCCACTGGGCCCATCAGATATGCTCTTTTAGTCGACGTAAATGTGCCATTGCGGTTGTCATGACGACAGTAGAGCGGCTGCAGGGACGAAGCGTGGTACGGTTTGAACGTGCGTTATAGCGTAATTTAGACTCGAAAGCAATTAAAAATTGTATCTTTAGTATGTCTCCACGGCACTGCAGTGGCACTACTCAGTTCCTGTTGCTAGTAGCTGGTCCTGGCGTTTCATTAGAATATGTTTTCGAACCATGCGGCAAAGATGGGAGACTCCCTTTAAATGATAAAGAGAGATTTAGAATGTGCCGCCGTCACGATTGATTAGGAATATGAATATTCGTTTCACGCCGAATGTTATTTGTGTCGCGTTAAATTGCGCATTAGTATACGCATCGCCAAATTACCCAGCTCATTCGACACATAATTGGTTGGCTCGCTGACCAACACCCGTCGCCACTAATGTCATGTTCGTGGTCAGGACTCGCCCAGGTGAAGCAGGGCGCACCCGGCCCAGCGTGAGACAACTGAACCGAACCAGACCTGATCCGACCCGACCCGACCTGACCCGACCCGACCCGAACTGGCCTGGCCCGACCCCACGCGTCCCGACCCGACCCGACCCGACCCGACCCGACCCGACCCGACCCGATCCGACCCGACCCCTGGTTTGACCCGACAGCCGAGCCAAGCCAAGCCAAGCGGAGCCGAGTCGGTCAGACCGGGGCAATCCGTTCTGTGATGATGAGACAGACGAAGCGAGCTTCCTTGGGTTGACGCTCTGGCCTACCGGCCGTATTCCTCTCGTTAGACTTTGTCCAGCAATCTCAAAAATTACCGCTCGGGAGGTTAATGAGACCCGGAAATGTCTGCCTTCGTCCCCGGCAAGAATTACCGAGAGGCCCGAGCTTCTTGTTGGCACCTTGTCAGCTAGGCGCACCCGGAAACGGGTCTCTGGAGAGTGAGGCGCGAGCTTTTTATTCGCACATTGTCAGTTATGCCCACCCGGAAACGGGTCTCTGAGGAGGGGGATAGAGCTCAATATTCGCGCTTCGTCTGCTGGCATAATCCACAATGCAGAATTTTCGGCCGTTGAAATCATTAAGTCCAGTGAGGGTAGAACGTTCTGCATTCTTAGCCGGAAAGCTCAGCAACACTTAAATAGTTATATTTAACTATTGAGAGCGGCATCATGATGTTATTGAGAGTGGTTCTATTCGCGCAAATTATGTAATTGTCTGCTCATAAAAAGAGTGCAGTAATTTTCCCGGTTCGAAAATTATCATCTGGCAGACACGACTGCAAAAGATTGGGAGAGCTGTACCAAATCTGGAGACAGATGCCTGAGCAGTATCACAAATTGCCAGGCGAAAAAAAAGCATTTGGGCACAGACCAACAACCTGGTTTGGCAACTTTGGTGCTGGACATCATGGACATTCAATCAGACTTATTTCCTATTCATACCCTCCTTATTAGAATCGTTTCTGGCACACGATGACTTGTAGCCACGTTAATATTTGAATAGGGTTGGCTTTTCAAAGGGTGGTTAGAAATATGTTTTGGTTAAAGCCAATTGGCATCTCTGACTTGGACTCTGATTTTGAAGCACGAAAAGTAGCGTCGAGGCCATGATTCGAATCAAGGTAAATGCTCACGATACAAGAAAGTTTTACAACACAGTTAGGATTGCATCGCTCTTATTGCGTACCTTATACAGTGCCCATGATATCCTATTCTTCAATAGACCTTTTGCAAATGGATATTTATGCCGGGGAGATATGCAAACCGTGTCTACCAAAACATTGGCTTTCAAAAGGAGGAACTGATCTGTCGATGCATGCTTCTGAAAATACCGTGATTCGTGATTGCGCCCCCCCCCCCCCCTCCCCTCCCCCAAATCAGCCCTGGAGCCATCTCAGGGTAATGTTGGACGGCAAATGATTTTGTGCATGCCAGACCAATGCAAAACATCACGTGGCACTTTGGAAAGAACGGTCTGATGAGAAAAGACGCAAAACCGAGAAGCGTCTACCATCCGGAGTGAGACAGTGCTAAAATAGCTTTTACATCAAGTATTTTCATCCC